CGGGGACGAGCGGCCTGAGGGGAGAGACCCGGGAGCGGGGCTGCGAAAAACGCGTAAACGCGTGCTTTATAAATGGCTTTTCACAAAGATTAAAGTGAATATTTTATGTGTTGCGTTAGAAGGTAATGCTGTGTTAATTCTCCTAAGTACTGTGTAAAATGTAGTTTTAGGTTATAGCAAAATGTTAAAATAGAAACTATGCCATGTAAGATACTTTTTTTTTTTTCTAAATAAGGGACTTGCACTGAGACAGCAGCCTCAGGACACCTGAAGCTTTCAAAGAGAATTTATTGCTCCATTACCAGAAGAAACAAATTTCTTCCTGCCTCACTCAGGCAGGACGATGCTGTCAGGATTCAGAGGAAGAAGCTGACACTGACCAGACAGAATCCCGTGTTTGAATGGAATTTATAGATCATGGATGAGGTGTATGAATATGCAATAGGTTATTATTTTTAAGGGTTAATCCTCTGTTAACGTGGGTCCTTCTTCGGGCTTGTGCTGCCCAGAAAAAGGTACCCGGACGTCCGTAACTCTTTGTTTCTATTGTCTCATATTGTCCTAATCCAAATTGTCCAAATTGTCCAAATTATTATTAGTTTAATTGTATTACTATTTTTATAACCATTTTATTACTATTAAACTTTTAAAATTTTAAAAACAAGTGGTTGGCGTTTTTCACATGGTCTGACCCCACTGCTCCACCACACACACACACACACACACACACACACATGGCCGGAGCGCTGTGCCTGCTGCCACAGGGTTAGATTTTATTTTAGATTTTCAGATTTTGTGCTGCTTTAGGGTGCAGGTCTGAGCTTTGTATTAGTAAAATAAAGCAATTCCATCTCTATCTGGGGATCAAGGATAAATGATCCAAATCTCGGGCCCAAGAGCACAAACAACAGTGGAATGAAAAGAGAAGAACAAGCAGCATGGGACTTAATAACCTAAAACTATAATTGCAGAATTAACTCCAATATGCAAACGGAGCAGAATTTACAAAAGTGAGAGACTCCCTGACCAGTCATCTTTTTTGTGTCAATTTTTGGGTGTAGGCCTGGCTGGGCTCCTGTGCTGCCCAAGGTGGATCCATGGAGGCCCTCTAATAAATCCCTGCTTTATTCTGTGGCTCTGCCTGGCCTCTGTTCCAGGGCAGCCTGCACAGGGCACCGTGCCCAGCTCGGGGCTGCTGGGTGCAGGAGAGATAAGGAGCTGCTGGACAGGGCCCAGCAGAGGCCACAAAGATGATTTGGGATTTGGAGCATCTCATATGAGGAGAGACTGTGGGACCTGATTTTATACTCCTTGTTCTTGGAGTTCAAACTGTGTGGCTCAGCCTAGGACTGCTAGCTGAGTAGACATTTAGAATATAGACATCTCTGCCATGGCCTTTTTCCCAGTTTTATTCTGGCCAAAGCACTTATTTTCACATTTAGCAGAACAGCCTGGACATTTCAGCATTGTTTTCTATTTGGCCCTGGAAGGCTTGGGCCCCCATCCAGGAAGGTACTTAGGATTCGATTTCAGCAGGATATAGATGCTTTGTACATTTATAAATTTTGCTTTCATTTAAGATTTGCTGATCTGTTGATACCTGTGTACAGTCTGAAGCCTCATGCTCTCCCAGAACAGGTTGGTAACTGATGATATTTTGGAGGTTCTTAGGAGGTTTCTGTCAATGCCACGTTGTGCTTATCCTCTGAGCACACACTAAATGTCAGCTTCTGGGGCATTTCTTGCAAGTTACATCATACAAAATAACCTTGATGATAATTAGTGTTGTTTTCTGTGCCTGGTATATTTCTTTGCTTTGTTTCCAGTTGCCATGGCCTTCCCTTGTGTTGTTTATGATTCATTGGGTCTTGTTTGTGCAAATTTGGGAAAGTTCCTATTTCTCTGTGTGAATTTCTGTGGAGGAATCCCCTCAAAATCCCTTCTGTTGTGTCTTCCCATCTGTTCTCCACGGAGTTCCAGAGGCCTGTGGTAGTGGCTGTCCTTTGCACGAGGTCAGGACAATTTGGGAAAATTCCTGGTATTTCACTGATATCCTGGCCTGTCTCAACGAGCCCATTTCAGGTGAGTTTATCTCTCCAAATGCCCAGCTCTTATGAAATTACGAGGTATTTCAGCCTCCTCGTTTAAATAAATAGTGTCAGCTCAAAGAATACATTGCATCATGGCATGAAGGCTTCTCAGTGAGGAGAGCTGGGAGATTTCTGGAAAGGTCCTTTGATGAGGGTCTCCCTGTACAAAGGAGGCATGGGTGTGCTTCTCTATTTCCTCATCTGCACCAAAAACTCTGTAAGTTGTTTTACTCAGAAAAAGGGATTTAACAATTTGAGTGGCATTTAGAAAAAATTGGGGGCTTCTAAGGGTCGGAGTTTTTAGCAGATTGCAGGGTTTTCTCTTTTAAAATCACCATTATGCTCAAAAATGTGGCATGGTCTTAAAGAAAGCCAGCTGGTGTTACAGTTCTTAACCTCCCTGACCCTTATGTTTCTGTCTTTGCTTCATGTCACAGCCTCAAGCTGTCATAGCTGATCTCTTTATGGCCATTTGTCATTTAGGCCTTTTTTCCTTAATGTCCTCCCCATGAGGGTTTTCTTGCAATGTGTCAACATTTCTTTTCTTCTTTTCCTTTTTTTCCATTTCCTTTTCCTTTTATTTCTTTTTCCTTTTCTCCAAACACCTTTGATTTTGATTCTGGTTGCTTGTACTCCTGACACCACGTAGAGTCTGCAGATATGAAATGAGCCAGGAATTTCTTATTCTTATCCAGATTCATTAACCAGCTGGCTGATGCTCTGAATATAGGATTTTTATTTAAATTTCCAAAATCTTTAAATGTCTTAATCCAGTTGTTGGTTCAAGGGATCATGGTCAGGCCTTGGCGTATTGCAGAGATTGCTCTGAGGTATTATTACAAAACTTCTATCTCATAGATTCTGGCATTTCATCAATTTAGTCTTGCAGGTGACTCCAGGTTACCTCAGAGCCCTCAGTGGGTAATGCCATCAGCAGCATGATTCTTTAGAATGGCCCCTAATCTAATCTGAGGCAGAAAACATGATTTCATTTCTACCCTATTATTACTATTAGCAGGCATAAGGCAAGGCTTAAAAAGATTTGGGAATGGGCAATTCCAGTCAATCTCATTCAGGCTATTTTCCTCCTCCTAATGTAGTTTCCAAACTTAATTGCAATAGTACTGCAGTCCTGTTAATACCTATTTTCTCATTAAAGGTTTGTTTATTTTTCCTTCTTTTACTTCCGATTTTTCCACAGTCACTTTTGAAAGAGGGAAAAACTGGTTTGGATAAGGGAAAACTGGAATGGAGGCAGGGAGCATGGATGCATAACCCCCTCTTAAATAAGGAGTAAAACTCCTTTACAAGAGTAGAACTGCTGCTAATAAATGAGAAAGTGCTAGCAGGCTTTCCCAAAAGCCCAGTTCTATCAGCAAATCCATCGTTCCCCTTCCTCCCTGAGCTATAACCGGGTCAGTCCTTTATAAACTACACCTTTTTCACCTCAGTGGGAGGATTTTTGGGTCCCTTCTCAGGTGATTTAGCTGCTCATTTTTTTTTTTAGGAGTTCAGGTTGCTTTGGGTGGGAGAAAGCGGCAGTTTTGCCTCTGCTTTTAGGAGGAAATATTTAGCAGAAAGGATATTTTAGACATTGGAGCAGCTGCTCGGGAAGGAAGGTGGGTGAATGACCGGCCCTGGAGGCGTTTCAGGAAAGGTTGCATGAGGCGCTCACTGCCGTGGTCGGGTTGACAGGGGGGTGTTGAGTCACAGGCTGGAATCGATGGCCTCAGGCGGCTTTGCCAGCCGAATCGATTTTTTGATGCTAAAACGGGAAATTTCGGCACCGCCCCGGCGCTGAGGGGACCCGAGGG